GACTGTAAAGGACTTGGCGCAGAGCCCAGATTGAGCCTGACCTGCTCCTGCTGGGACCCACCCCCCACACCCTGCACAGAGTGTCTTCAGGGTCCACAGCGCCGGAATGGCAATGCCACGTCAGGGCCTCGAGGGCCAGGTGCAGCCAAGGAGCACACAGACTTGCCCGTCCGCGTGGGGACACAGGTGGCCTCAGGTCCTCCGCACCCTCAACGGTCTGCCTGCCGCAGGCACACCCCAGGGAGCGGGCGAGATGCGTGTGGACCGAGAGGGCCAGGACCTGTCTTGGGGTCCTTTGATGGTGGTTTGTAACGGGCAGGTTGGCACTTTATACAACCCTCCAGGCCACCCACCTTTCTCCCATCTGCCATCTCCACTCCCTTGGTGTTTAGGAGCCTGAGGAAGCCATCAACAGCATCCAAAGCCTCATCTGGATTGGGTCATAGCACAGCCTCTCTAAAAAGTGTCAAAGTGACCCTGGGAACTAAACCACTCCACACTGAGAAAATTTCAACATAAAGGTAATGGGGAAATGGTCAAAGAAAAGCCATCCAAAGGAGGGAGTCTGTCACTTACACAAACCCGTTTTATCAGGCACGCCAACCCATCGCTTGCTCACATTTTTAATTTTGACTTTTTCGGGAAACTCTGGCAGGAAGCAGCATTTAGCCTGCTAACATTAGACCGGCGTTGACGGCCACTTGCTGTGCAGAGCCCAAGTCTGCAGTGAGTCTGCAGCTCCCAGGGCACCGGGCGGAGCTTGCTGTGCCCTCCCTTCCCCACTGTGCCTGCTGCTGCTTCCCTGCGCCTCCCCAGAAAGGAGGGGTGGGACACCAAAGCAGTCTCAGCTTTTCCAATGGGATGACAGGCAGGCATCGGCACAGCACCCCCAGAACCGGTAGCGGGGGTTGCTGGGACCACAGGACCCAGTCCCCAAGGAAGGAGGCTCCTGGTCACTACAGCTGAGCCTGCTGCTCTCCCAGTGCCAGCCTTCTGCTGTGCCGGGGGAATGAGGGATGTTTGCAAAGCCCTGAGACAGAACCTCTTGATGTTTTGTCCACACTGTAGAGACCGTAAGGCAGCTTTCCATTTTTCAGAAAGATAAATGAAATACAGCCTCTTCCAATGAGGACAACTGAATTTAACAAAGAACGGTCTGATTCAGAAAAAGAAATCTGTCAGCGCCCACAATCTGTGGATAGTTGCCTACAGGGTGGGACTTGCAGAATTCTACTGAAAACCCACGGTCTTGCTGTACGTTTTCTCAGCAAGTTGCTTGGTTCTAACAAGTAGAGATTACATATTTTGCCTAAAACGGATTCTCCTGAGTGCCTCATTTAAAAATTCAAATGGTAATTATATTTACATAACATTTCAAAGCACTCCCAGATATGTTATCTTGCTGGAACCTATTTAATATCCCAGGGAGGGAAATTAAGAAATTATTGCGTATTACACTCATAACTTTAATTAGCTTTCCCAGGAGGGTAGGCAAAGCCCCGAGAGAGTGAGGCCCCAGAAGTGCACATTTGGGTGGAAGGGAAAATGGGACTCGCTCTAAAACCTGACCAGGTGGCCACAGGACCCAGTAGTGCCAGATAGACTAATCCCTGTGCTAAGAATTCATCCTATTTCTTGAACAAACAACTTGGCTGTGCCCCAGAGCAGAGTGCCTGGTGCTTCCACCCAGGTTCTTCTCAGTAATTACTGTATAATCCTCTTGCTTACAGCAGACACCATCCAGGGAACAAAAAGAAGCTTCAGTTTTGAGACAATCCTTCTCATCCTCCCCTTTCGCATTAGCACACTCCTCCTGCACAAATGCACCTCTGAGGCGCCGAACAATCCCTGAAGCTTGTGCCCAGAGCACTTCCGGGTTCCAAGAATGGCCTTGGAAGGCCCGGGTCCCCTGTCTCAGCTAGAGCTGGAACCTTGGCCTCAGAGCCGAAGCAGCTCTTTCCCTCTGAGCCCTCACGGTGTTCCCTGGGCCTCCCAGCCTTCCTCTGACATGGGACACACTGGCCATGTGGCCCTGGACTGCCCCATACTCTATGGCCCTTGCCATCTTCATCTGCCAAGTGAGGGGCTTGAGTTTCACTGGCTGTCGTCCCTAGCTGCACAGGAGTACTTTATAAATGCAGGCCGGAGCGCCTCACTGAAGGGATCTGGCTAATCTGCCTACAGTGAAGCCCAGTCACTGAGGTTTTGTAAAAAGTTCTCCAGGTCTGACAATCCCTAAATCATCTCCGAGTCCTAAAAAGTCTATGATCTCTCCTGTCTTGTCTCTGTGCTTTATTTCTTGAATTTAATATTTTCCAGAATTATTCATCTTTTCTTTTTTTTCTTCTTTTTGTTTGTTTGTTTTTTGTTTTTTTGAGACAGGGTCTCACCAAGTACTTTGGGCTGGCCTTGAGCTCACTGTGCAGTCCAGGTTGGCCCCCAACTCAAAGCAATCCTCCTGCCTCAGCCTCCTGAGTGCTGGGATCACAGGCATGTGGCAACATGCACGGCATCATCTTGTATTTTCATATTGCATTTCATTATAAAGAGAACTATATTGCTGAAGTGTGAGTCGTTATGTAATTGACATTTAATGCTGCATATGTTTCAAGTGTACAACTCGATGATAAAAAAGTGTACAATTTCCACATATGAGAAATGAGCAGCTGGGCGTGGTGGTGCACACCTGTAAACTAAGCACTCAGGAAGCAGAGGCAGGAGGATCACTGAGAATTCAAAGCCAGCCTGGGCTACATAGTGAGACTCTGTCTTGAAAGAGAGAAAGGAAGGAAGGAAGGAAGAACAGAAGGAAGTGAAGGAAGGAAAAAAGAAAAAAGAAAGAAGGAAAGAAAGGAAGAGAAAGAAAGGGTCAACAGTCATAATAGTGAACATCACCTCCAAAAGTTTTCTTTGCCCCTTTAGTGATCCCCCCAAGTGCCCCAAATATGTTCCTTCACCTCCTTCTCCAGGCAGCACCGATCTGCCTTCTTCTCCTGTGCTGAATTGTGCCTTCTACAAAGGGAGTTGTGCAGTACCTGTTACTCCTTGACTGGCGTATTATTATTACAAGCCTAGACTTTAGATTTCAAGCTCTTTGAGACCCAGGTCCACTTTTCATTTCTTTCCTCTTCCTCCCAGTCCCTAATCAAGGACGCGGAGAAACCCATAGGCATTATTTGCTTGATGGACAGAAGACTTTTATGAACTTCTAACTGAGTTTCAGCTTGGTGACCCCAAAGGGCCGGACAGGTTAGGAGTTTTAACCGCTACTCCTCTGCAGGCTCCTCTGTCAGCAGCTCTGCCTCAGATAAAGAATAAAGCATGCTCTTAAACCAGGGTCTTAATTTAAGGTCTGCGGGCTTCTGGGCTCCAGAAAAGGAGCATCCAGATGTTTGTTGGGGACAAACGGGGGCAATGCGTGTGGGAAACACCTGGAAAGGTTTGTGGCTTTCACCAGTGTTCTCTTGACGACTGGGCGCTAGGCCTACACAGCTGAACTATGGGATTAATGTCATGCGACTTCCTTTAGTGTCCCACATGACTCCTGCCAACATGAAGTCTTGTTACGAATCTTCTGCTCTCTGTCCCTCCCTGCCCTGAGCTGTTTTGTTCTCTGCCTGCCCTGCTGGTACTGAAGCCTATGTCACCCCTTGCACGGCAGGGTGCGGTCTACTTCCTGGGGACTTGTGGCATTCCTCTTCCCTGCAAGACCCTCTCATCGAAGCTATGTGATGCGCTGTTCCTCTTTATTCAACGAATCCTCTTCCACTTAACAGTGTACCCTGAGTTCCTAGACACCAGTAAGCGCAAAAATCACAAATACCATTTCCTCAAAACCCCAGCGTGCTGGATGCCTTTCATCTTAGGCAATGTTTTCATCGTTATAAATCAGTCTTACGAGAGCAAGATGTAACAATAAGCAACATGGCACATTCACAATCTCAGCCCAGAGATATTCCCTCCCCTCTACCTCGAACACAAAATATATTTTTAAACAACATTATGTCTGACTATAGAGAAGGCTGAGATGCAACACAGCAAATATCAGCTCCCAAACCACAAAACTATGCTTCTGGCCGAGTAACAGAAATGCTGGCTTCCAAGAGTCTTTCAGAAATAAGTGGGCGAGCAAAAAAATATCTCACTGCTGGCCAGAAGGCCACCTCCCACCCCCAACACACCAGCACTCCAAATCCACCAGCCCAGTGCACATTTTTGCAAGGGGTTTGGGATCTTAAACCCAGGGGCACTCTCTGGCTCCCTGCATTTTTATTCTCTCTTCCACTGCCACAGTTTTCCAACAGAAGAGCAAATACAGTACTGTAACTACAGCCTTTTCCTCTGGGTCCTACACAGTGAGTTCTCTCCCTCCAAGGCAAACCTCTGAAAGTCACTTACTTTCTCGAGCGGCTGAGCAGTTGAGGCAGGCGACCAGGTTTGGAATCTGCGGTTGCTGATGCCAGCCTGCTTAAATAGCCGGGCTGGCTCAGCGGCCGCTGATAGCACGTTTATTTACGCATGGAAGTGTGCTCAAGCAAGGACCTGAAAAACCTGCCGCGTGGGCAGGAGGGAACCGACTGAAAGTCTGCCCAGGTTACATAGCGCCTCGTTATTCAGGTTTGATATGCAGGCGGCGACTTCTGAGAGGGCCGTGGAACTTTCCCGTGGCTACCTTCTCGTTGCTTCTTTCTTAGCTGGGGAAGACTCTCCGGCAAGAGTTGGGGTATGCAGCTGAGAGATGAGGGGCAGAGAAACAAGACCCTGGACCATCCCCAGCTTCCTTATTTGGCGCATTGCTCCGTTTTGCGGCTCAGGTCTGATGCCATCGATCTCACAGCTCTGCAGGCAGAAGCCCAGCTAAGGGCTGGACGATGGCCCAGCTAATGAAAGGTTGTTTGCTTTTGGAGACAGAATGTACAAATAACAAACAATGAAAGGCGAGGGTCTGACCAGGATGAGACGATTTCAGGTCTCCTCAAACACCGTTCTCATCCCCCATCTGTATTTTCTCTCTCCTCTCCCCTCCCCTGGCTCTGCTAACGAGATTCCATCTGAGCTGTGGGCGCAGAGTGGGAGCAGGTCTGCGGGAAGTGCACCGAGGGAGTGTGGGCGTCAGCTGCCCACCTTCCCCAGGTGTTCCTGAAGAAGGGGGCTGTGGGCGTGAGGACCAGGCAGCTGGATGTTTATCTTTCTTTTATGAGCTAGATACGGTGGTTAACGCGGCAGTATGCTCAGTGGGTATGATTTGGGACGAAGGGAGGGAGACGGCGCTCTGTGAGATCATTTATGGGAGTATCTGTGTACATTTGCAGGTGTGTAACGTGAACAGGAAGGTGCCACCCCTGTACACACTCTATTTTTGACGTTACTGACCGTAGAACAGGCCCTTGATTCTCTTGGGAGCAGCCTCAGCCTGAGAAAGAAGAGCTTCAGTGGTCCAGATCATACATTTCCTTCCCACGTGGAAAAAGGGGTAATGTTTATAAAACTTGTGTGGGGCTGGGGCTCCCTGACTTAGTTCCCCGGGGAGTTTCTTCACTTCCTGACACTCACTGCTCATTCCCCCAGGTCTACGGCTGAGCCTGGGTGCTTTCTTTCCTCCCAGCTTTCTTGAATGTGGGGTCTACGTCTTGTTCACCCTTAGAACTCACAGTGCCCGGCACGAGTTACTGCAACCATGACGATGACAAAGATGCCCTAAATCTGGAGAGACGGACCCTGTGCCAGGTTATATGCCACTCTACACAGACCTCCTTTGCTTACTGAATCCTCACAGCCCTGTGAATTAAGTCTTTTATTACTGTCATCCTGCAGATCAGGAAACTGATACCCAAAAAGGTTGGGTAAGTTGCGCAAGGTCATAGTAAGGGGTGGAGATGGAATTTAAATCCAGATCTGATTTCAGAATTTGGGTTTACACTTAGGGCTGATTGAAACCAATCTTTAGAAGGTTGCCTGCGAGTGTTTTCATTTACCTGTACTTATTTACTTGTTTATCGTTTATCTTCCAGAATGAGATTCCCATGATCACGAAGACCTTGCCTGCCGTGTGCCCCTTGCCTGTCATAGCAGGTGCTCAATAAATACACACTCACCTCTCAGTTTCCAAATTCCTCTGGAGGCCACGCAACCCAGCAGACAGGGTTTGGCGGGTGCGTTCTTTGGTTCTTGCATAATGCATTGGCTTCAAGCTGTTTCTCTTTCTCCAGCAATCACGGAGGTGAAACTCAAAGTGGCTGAAACCGTGAAGCAGTTTTTACATCACTGAAGAACCTGCAGGTATGTGGGTTCAGGCCACTCAGGGGTACAGTGATATCACCAAGAGCCCTGGGTTTTTCCCTTTCACACTGTAGCTCTCAGTGTGCAGCCCTCAGTGGCGGCAAGGTGGCTGTGCATCACATCTTTTAAACCGTCCAAAGGCGTGTAGGAAAGGCAGGAGCTCTCTCCTGTGCATCTCTGGTTGTCACAGTGCAAAATCTGTCCAGAAGCCACGCACAGACTTCCGCTTATGTTTCCCTGATGAAAATTGCCCTCAATGGCCACCACGCCGACTAGGTCATCCTTCTTAAAGAATAGAGAAACCAGGATGATCATGGTTCATCCGCTGGACCAAAGGAAGGATTTTGTCTCTCTGAGACAAAATCTCTGACACCAGAGCAAAGCCAGGATTTACCTAACAGGGAAGACAAGGAAAGTGCTGTCCACAGTCCTGCCAACCCGGAAATGCTTACATGACAACCTAGAGCGCGGCTGTGCTTGGGCGCCAGTTCAGGCCGCAGGAATTGGGCTCCGCTCTATCAGCTCTCTGTATGCTTTTTTTTTTTTTAAAGAAAAGTTTGCCTTGCCACTCAGCAAAAAGAAAACTATTTAAACAATTCATAAGCACAGAAAGTAGCTGGCTGCAGCGGGGTTTTCCCTGTAGGTGAACCCTTAGGTTTTCCATCTCCAGAGTCCCAGGGACCAGCACACAATCTGCCAGCCTCTTGTCTTCTGTACCGGATGGGATTGGTGATGCCGCTGGTTTCTTAGCAACATCGCACCCAGTAGTCATAAAAAGATGGCAAAACAGTGCACACTGGTTTTGGGCTCATGTTCTTCCTCCTCCTGTGCCCCTTATATTACAGTGGGACTTTATTACCCACGTGTTTGCATCTGTCTCTACCTAGGCGCTGCCTGGGACAAGTACACAAGAGCCGCAGTGCTCACCGTCTTCTCCTCCTAGTCCTTAGCAAACCTGCCGTGCACACCTGAAGATCTGTCATTATTTTCCCTCTGTTTGCTATTCCAGAGCTTTTCCTTGCTGTATGTGTTGGGAACGCTTTTCTCCATGGTCACAAGTCACAAAAAAATAGGAGAAAGGGTGGGGGGTGAGCCAGATGTTAGGCTCTATCAGCAATACCCAGGCAAGGGTCGATGCTCCAGATGTGTCTGCTGAGTGACTGGAAGAATGGTGGGAAGGGAAGAAAGTGTGGGCTTTCGAATCGTGCTGGTTGGGTTCAAGTGCAGGGCTTGTGTTTATCACTTACATGGTCCAAGTTAATTTACGTCCCTCTGCAGCCCGCATTTCCTCGTATGTAAAATGGTAGCAGTGGTGTTTATCTCACAGGTTTGGTGTAAGGACTAACATTAGTGTATGAGAAGCACGTAGCAGTAATGCCTAGGACATAGCATATGCCCCATAGATGGTACCTAAGCTGGGGTCACAACCAGAAGACCATGTGAAGCTCATGCCAACAGGTGAACAGAAAACCCCCATCGCCACAGCAAACAGGGGTGCTGGGAGAATTGTGCAGAGGCAGTGAGACTGGACCAAGGAGCAGCCACGTTCTCCCTCCTAAAGCCAGCGTGGGTGTCGGAGGCCGGTTCACAAATGGGGAGCAGCAGAACAGGCTATAGGAGCGAGGAGACAGCAAACTACCAAAAACACTTCAGAAAACATACAGCTTAAGAAAAGTTAACCCACCCAAGCTCCAAATCTGATCTGTGCAGCATAAAACAGAACAGGGGTACCCAGAGGAGGGAACACGGCCGTGCAAGTTCCGCCACGGAGCTATGAACTCTTGGACGAGGCTGAGTCCCCTGCGGAAGGTGTGGAAGTTGTCACCTACCAAGGTCCCTTCCTGGCCACCCTGGCTGGGCCTGCAGCAATGCGGGGAGCAGAGGAGAAACAGCAGATGCCCAAGAACCAGGACAAAGAAGGTGCCCACCGGCCAAGGACGGAGGTATTTCCCTTGGCTCTTCCTGGCAGAGGAGTTCTCCCATTCCATGATGCAAAGGGCTTGGAAGTTATGACATAATTTCACTCTGTTTTCCTGGTTGTCGCTGTGGACTAGTAATAACGCAGTCATCCTTTCAGTGAACTGCACACCCTTCATTCAAAGCGTGGATTCTGCCATCTTACCTAAGCCACCTGTCGTCCTTATGGAGCTGAGGTCAGTTGATGCCTGGGAGCCGGGTGTGGTGGCCCAGGAGCGGTGCTCATTCACAGAAGCTGTTCTGTCTGAGGAAGCCCACGGTGTCTTCACTCTCCTACTTCCACACCAGAGTCTCTCAGCTTTCCTCATCTAGGGTCTAACGAAGGCAGAGGTCCCAGACTTTGCGCTCCTTTGTCACCCTGTGCAACAAAAGCCTGGAGAAGGGAGTCCTTGGTAACAGGGAGGGGATACCCCTGGTCCACGGAGCAGGGAGGGAGGAGACTTTCTTCACCCACAAAAGCCTCGCTCTTCTCCAAGGCAGCAGGGCTTCCGGCTGCTGGCAAGAACTGTCTGAAAAGCAGCGTGGTGACCATCCCCCAGGGGCAGGGGTGGCCTCCCTGGGAGGCCTCTGGATCCACGGAATGACGGGTGGGAGCCCTGCCTGACCGTGATCCCCTAGCACCTGGGTGAGGAGCGTCCCACACCCACTGCTGAAGCCCAGGGGCGCCCCGAGCTCTCAAAAAGCAGCAAGTCGGGAGCCTGGAGAAGACACCAAGCTCAAGACGACGAACTTGCCTGACTGGGCCACCACGGGTCACACAGCCTTATCAGGGGAGTCTCAGGGAGCCCCAGGCTGAGAGCGGGTGTTACCCCCACTGCGCAGGGCCCTGCAAGCCGAGCGCTATCTATTTAAGACCCTTGACTTTGGTGAGTGGTTTTGCTAGGAAACAGAGGAAAAGGAAAGGAAAACGGAGACAAGAAAATTAGTTTGATGGCAAAGCCATACACAAAGATGCGTGTTTGACACGGTGGAGAGAAAGGGGCTGAGAATCATTTGAGCTGAACCGTAGAGCAGCTGGAGGGGGAGGGGAGCCGTGAGGAGCAGCCACAGACCCTTTCTTCCTCCTGCTTCTTACCCCAGAGGCCCACGGTGACCCACGGTGCAGACTCGAGCAGCTCGCCGCGGCCGTGCAGCCTCCAGCCCGCAGTGTACAGAGAAGCCCAGCCTGATGTCTCTCGGAGCTTCTCCCCGTCTTCCATCTTGTCTTGCAAGGGGAGGACGGCAGGGGCCTCACGAGGTTGGAGACCCCAGGCAGTCAGGGGGGCAGTGCCCCACTTAGGGCTGAGGGAGAGGTGGCCTCAGCACACAGGGCGGCTGCCGCTGCTGGCACGCGCCCGCCTCGCCATCAGAGCACCCTCCCCAGGGACTGCAGGCCCAGGGGATCCACCAGAGGTCATGGAAGCTTGGCACTGTGTGTGTTGGGGGCCAACCAGGGCCCCGCTCCAGCAGTAACCCTCCCCTGTGGGTTTGGTCAGTGCAGACGTTCCGCATAGTCCAGGGAGACATCTTGAAAGAGAAAACTCTGAGATGGGAGAGGGGAAGGAGGAGGCGGGAGGGAGGGAAGGGAAGGAAATACGGATCATCTTTGGAAGATGTCTAAAAGTCCTGTCTGCTTTTGGCGAGGCTGTGGTCAGGCTTTGCTAACTAGTTTGGCGTGGCTCTGCCATGTGCCTTGTGGTAAGGACCTGCCTCTTCCCGTGGCCACTCCGAGGGTTCTGCAACCAGGCCCCAGCAGCCCTTTGGGTGAGGACCTGTGGTCTCCCCAGAAGGTCTCCTGAGGTGCTTGTTACTCATGCACCCAGCTTTCATCTTTGGGGAGAGTCAGCTCGGGGACTGGTCTTTCCAGCGTGTTCTGAGAACCTGCAGGAGGACCTGGTGACTTGGGAGTCGCAAAGTGGACACACCTGACTTTGCTCTGTGACTCAGAGACAAATGGATGCTACAGTCCTCACGATCCAGCCAGTAGATGCCCCATCTGTCCCAGAACCAAATTGGGGTGAGAGCCATGCAGGGTGGTGCCCAGCTTTGCGGGGAAGACAGCGTGGACCCGGCCAGACCCAGGGTGACCACTTTCTGGCTTTCCCAGAACTAATTTTCAGCAGGACAAGTCCTACATCCCAGAAAACCCCTCAGACTAGGTCAACAGGCTGCACGGTCATTGTCTTGAAGCTCTCTCACTTCCCAGCCAGCAATTAAACCTCTTTGAGCCTCAGTTTCCCCAGATGTGAAGTGAGGATAGAGACACCAACCTTCTGCAGGGCTTGAGAACTGGGGTTGCCGTGTGTTATGGTTAAAACATTGTGTCAACTTGGGGAGTCTAGAGGTTTGGCTAAGTAACTTAGCAGGAAGCCAGAATGCTTACTTTGTATACATCCTGAGCCTGTGGAAGAGGAGGGCATAAAGATTATGTGAGAACTGCATGCCCCTTAGGTGGGGGTAGCCTGTTTACAAAGTAAAGGCAAGAAAAAAGCTCCTTGCCGCCATTCCTCCCTTTTGCTCTGGCTGTTTGCTGTTCGGCTGCCATTCCCTGCTTTGCTCTTGTTGCTTTGCTACCTTTTGCCTCGGAGCCAACCAAGTATGGACTGAAACCTCCACAAACTGTAAGCTAAATAAACCTTTCCTTCCTTCATTTTGGACGTTGGGTATTTTGTCTCAGCAACGAGAAAAAAGTAACCAAGACAGAATTTGGTACCAGGAGTGGGGTCGTTGCTGTGACTATATCTGACCATGTGGTTCAAGAGCCTTTGGAAATGGCTTGTGGGAAGTGTTCGGAAAGGTTCAGAGATGTCGCCTGAAAAAGAAGCGCTAGAACAGCTTCGACTGTTCTGTCTGGGAGATTCTGGTCAAAGCTCAAAAGCCCAGAAGGCTGACAGAAATCATGCCGGTAAAGACCAGGTTCAGGAGGTTTCTGCTGGGAAGCAGGACTGCATTGGTCATTGGACTCCAGATAATGTGTGTTATGGCTTGGCAGAAAGTTTGTCTGCATTTTGCTCGTGTCCAGAGACTTTGCCTAAGACTGAGATTAAGGGCAACAATGGACTGGTTAATCTGGCAAAAAAAATTTCAAGGCAATCAAATGTTGGGGCAGTGGCATGGCTATTGTTGGGGGCTTTTAGCCAGATTTATATTGAAAATCAAGCGCAAAGAGCCCAGCAGGATGATTTAAAGTGTTGTGAGTTTGGCCAGAAAGGAAGCTCCAATAATGTTGTGGACTGCAAAGATAAGGCTGAGGTGATCTCTATTGCTGAGAAAAAACAGAAAAATAAAAAAGATGGCCTGAGGGCATCATAAGCAGCAAGTCTCCACCCTTTGCAGCCTCAAAACTGCAAAGGTGAAAGACCTTGCCTTAAAAAGAAAGCCTCAGAACACCATGTTCCAGAATGGCGGCGGCGGCCGCACCGGGCTCCAAAATGGCGGCCGCGGCCACACCAGGTTCCAGAATGGCGGCAGCATAAAAAACCTGCTCCGCAGAATTGGACTCAGGGTGCCCAGCGATCCAGGCACTCGACCCCTGTGGCCAAGAGAGAGGAAAACTTGGCTACTGCTCCAGGTGGCAGCAGACCTTGGCATCATCCACGTGGCCCTGGC